GATTTTCTCAAATTTTTTTTCACATTTTGTCTCTCATAGTTGAGYTCTACCTATGATGTCAATTACAGGCCTCTCTCATCTTTTTAAGTGGGAGAACTTGCACAATTGGTGACTAACTAAATACTTATTTTCCCCACTGTATCCATGTCATCATTTACCCAGAATGCTTTATGTGTAAATAAAATGGCCCCGTCCGTGTAATATATTTTTAACCATTTAGTTTAAAAATGATAAAAATTTAACATCCTACAGTCTTTATTTTACAGTTAAAATATGTTTATCAAATAAAGTCTAATGTTGCATCTAATCATGGATCCATTTAAGTTCTGCAGAAGCCTGCCAATCACTCATTGATTTAAATCAGGTGTGCCAAAGCAGGGAAACAACTAAAACATGCAGGGTAGGGGTCCTTCAGGACCAGGATTGAGAAGTACTGGTCTAAACAGTGCATCATGTTCCATTATACCTTGGGGTGTAATTTTCACAAAATGAAAACAGAATTAAGCAGTAAATTTAGAAAATAAATGATTAGCTGAGCCCATTCTACTATGAAGCAGAAGTGATTTTAGGCTGCGACTTTGTGGATTTGCATATGTTCAAACTGACTTCTTGTATTTAGAAGACCAGACTAATGCAAGTCCTTCGATTCAGGCCTCAAATTAGATGTTTTTCATTGACATCATCCGGGACTTTTTTACCTTCCACACCCCGTTCGTGGGCTACTATTTAGCTTGTAGCGATAAAAGCAGTATGGGAGAACCACAAAAGCAAGAGAGAAAAAAATGCAAAAAGGCCACTGAACGACGCAGACGAGCATGACCAGGATCGTAATACTTTGTATTTAAAACGTGCCTTTCAGGACACCCATGGATCTACTGAATAAGAAATCTAAGTCAAGGTTTTTAGCTTTATTGAAAGTAGGGGTGTCCCGATCCGATATCGATATCGGATATCGGTCCGATATCAGCCAAAAAACGAGTATCGGATTTTATCGGACTGATATCAGCCAAAAAACGAGTATCGGATTTTATCGGACTGCATAAAAAATGTCCGATATCAGCGCTCCGATATTAGCAGTCCGTTCCAGCAGTTCACTGACTCCGCTCCAGTG